AGCTAAATTACAAAGAAGTTATCATGGCTCAGAGAGCCAGGAATGTTGTAATTATGAGGGCTGTTAGAGTTCCCTTTCTGCTTCCTCTCTTTTGACTTTAACCATCAAGACATGGAAGCAAGGTAATAATGTGAACTAATTCATGTGGTTTTGGGGCATCTTTTAAAGAAACAATGTGAAATGGACATTTATCAATTTGGTAACTGATTAGGTACTCTATGAGGAGACTATACCCTGCCTTTGCAGGGCGATGTACACAGTGATTTGATTTATATATTTTTTAGAGCGCTACGTTTTTTATGACCCTGTGTATATGATAGGATATAGTGTACTGTGTACTACTCACCATATTATTATTTCTTCAGAATACTGGATGAATAACTTTACATACACTGGAATGAAGAAAAAGAGGTTAAAATATGCATGTATTTTAACTGGATCAAATTAATCCTCCTACTGTTTGTAGTGAGATGTATGTTGTACAGATTTCATTTTTTAAAGATTTAGCCAAGTAACAGATAAAACTACTTCCGTGATGATCTTATCTACAGAGTGCAGAGTACAACAGTTATATTAAAATAAAGTCAAGGATCTGTCTTGCTTGAAAATACGGTGCGAAGTAATTGCTTATATAGCCTTTTTTTAAAATTCTGTTTTAAATAGCACAAGGTTTCTTTTTCCTGCCTATCTAATTCTTTCCCTTTTTGTTAAAGACTGATTTCCCCCCCACTCTGGAATGCTTTGGAGTAAAGCTGAAATTGACCTGGTTGATTTTAGCTTATGTCCCATCTTATCCTGTCAAAACAGTTTTGCTTGTGTATCAGTATCATTTACTGGTGACATCAGCATTGCTTCAAGAATAGTGTAATTTAGCATTCAGGCAAAATGCAAGATATTCTAGCTCTGGGCCCCACATATGTTGCAATTCTGTGTGTTTTTTTTATTTGTTAATGAAGTAGTATATTTTTAATACATAAAATTTAAATGTATTAACCTTCTCCATCAGAGTATAACAAATTTAAGGTAGATCAAATATTTAAACTAAAACACTTTGCAGTCTCTGTTTAAAGCCACAACAACTAGTACAGTCACATGCATGTTTCTGACTTTGTTCACAGGCATTATGTCTCCAATTCAGCAATCACATACTTCACTGTAAGCATGTAAACAGGCTAATTGAAGTCAAGGGAACTGATTGATGTCAATAGGGCTACTCAGGTGCTTAATGTTAATTACATGCTTAAGTGTCTTGCTGAATCAGGGCCTATTGGAGTTCGAGAATGCCGTGTGGTCATACATAATGGGCTGTGGTATGTTACAAGGAATACTAGAAACAGCAATTGCAACAAAACTGTTGTTGTAGGGTCTTTTTGCTTATTTAGTTATATTCCAAGGTTTCTTAGATTTAATTTAAAAAAGCTTATATCTTTGTTTTTCTCTTACTATGTGCTTTTTTTTCAAAATATAACCAAATTAAACTAGTCCTAGGGGGGAAAAATCTTTTTCTTCTAAACAATAGTAACACCAAATTAGGGTTACCATACGTCTGGTTTTTCCCGGACATGTCCGGCTTTTTGGCAATCAAACCCCCGTTCGGGGGGAGCCCGGGAGGGAAAGTGCCCGGCCGGGGGCGCAGGGTCTGGAGGCATAGGGGCTGCCCGAAGCCCAAGGGCTACTGGCTTCACGGTTTGCCGGGCAGCCTCCAGACCATGCGCTCTCGGCTGGGCGCTTCCCCTCCCGGGCTCCAGCTGCGCTGGGGAAGCGCCGGCCGGGGGCCAGGGTCTGGGGGCTGCCCGGCACACCGTGAAGCCAGTAGCGCTCGGGCAGCCCTTTTCGCGTGGCTGGGAGTGGGAGGGAGGAGGGGGCGGAGTTAGGGCGGGGTTGGGGCGGGGAAGGGGTGGAGTTGGGGCTTGGCTGGGGGTGGGAAATGGGCGGGGCCAGGGCCCCGTGGAGGGTCCTCTTTTTTAATTAGTTAAATATGGTAACCCTACACCAAATATGTGAACTTCTGTTGTCCTTTTGAACTTAAGATTCAGGGTCTTGCACACTTCTCAAATTATGTGTTGAGTTTGCAAAACTCAGGGCTTGTCTGCATGGGGACCCTCAGGAAAATTGATCTAAATTAACAAGAAGTGTGAATTTAGCAATTAAACTAAACCAAAAGTAAGGCCACTTTAATGCCGAATGAGAGGTTCCACACGGGGATGTATTGTGGTTTAACCAATTCACTCTAAATGCATATCTTCAGTTAATTTGGATAAACTTTTAATATGCCCATGTAGACAAGCCAGCCTGATTTTGCAGATCCTTTTTCTTGTAATTTTAAATGCTGCTTTTATATACTCTGAGCAAAAAGCACTTTAAAAAGACTTATTTTAAACTTCATGCAATACATTAGAGTAGGTATCTTTGTAAATGCAAATAGGGAAAGTGAAGCACATGATTGAAGTGGCTGCAAAAGGTTATGCAGAATGTCATGGCAGACCTGAGAATATAATACAGGAAAATCTGGCTCCCATTCCTCAACTCTAACCTCTACAACCCATTTGTCTTTGGGTTTATGTATAATCATACAATTAAAAACAAACAAACTTACATTACATAGCCTATGTATCCGTTTGTCGGTGATTTCTAAACAATGGTCCAGCGACCCTTATTGGTCTTAGGGAATACAGGACTATAAAAGCAGACAGGAAATGTTGTAAGAAAAGTAGGGGATTGGATTCCTCTAAATCTGCGGACCGTATTCTAATATCGCTGGAGAAGCACTGCCATAGATACTTGGGCTTCTTTACAGCTAACACTTTGTCCATGAAATATTTGTTTATACATTTTTCTGAAATGTGTATTTACCAGTAGGCTGCAAGGGCTCCAAAGGCATCTTTGGAGAGTTGCCTGTAGGACAGTTATTCAAATGGGGTTTTATTATCCTTAGAAAAGAAGCCATTGTATACTAGTTTGTAAATCTTTACTTGAGCAGTTTACTTTAAGTGCACATTAAGGGTGGAGTGTCTGCCTTGATGTTAGAATTTTTTTTTCTTTTGTCTGTTATGACCTTCCAATTGCTTTAAATATGTGGTTATTTTTTGTGCTAAACTTCCAGTTATGTCTTTCATATTTGATGGGAAAAGCTGCAGCTAGCATGTGCTGGAAAAGCTGGTCCTAAATAATAAGATATTGTCTTACCTAGCTGGCAGGAGAATGAATGTAAGGGTTAGCAGGGTTATGCATTAGTTAAACAACAAATGCATTCTTTGATTAAAGCTTTAAAAACTACAACCAGCTGGCTATTTCTAAATAAATTTCTGTCCCTTTGTCTTGTTTGGCGACCACACAATATAACTAGGTGCTGATGATGGTGGTGCTGGTGATGGAAGATGATAGTTTGTTATCCAGGTTCAATTAGTAAGACAGAGTCCAGAAGTTTGCTCAAAAATTAATTTTGCCACTGAATTTAAGTTCCTGTCCATGCGGATGAGTCAGTAAAGTCCTGTTTCATCTGTCAAGAAGTATCTTCTTAAACATACCACTTCTCCTCTGGGACTGAGGAGGTAGGGAGTGATGTTTATGTAAGTGGGGGAATGGTCCCGCTATTGTGGGGAACTTTCCTGGCTTCTGCACTACCCCGGTGAAGTGGGCTAGCGAAAGGATCTGAGTCCTCGCTCCCACTCCCTTTACCCAGAGGCCTCCCTGCCCTTGAGGGCTTCCCTTCCACTCTCCTGTCTGGCAGAGTCCTTGTAACCCCAACAAGGCTGGCCCAGGATTCCTGGGGGGCTCAACCCCCAACCCTGCTGTGGTCACCTAGGACAGGGGCTAGGGTGTCCCCACTACGGGGTACTCTCTCTGCACTGGGCACCTCTCTGACCCACTGATTATTCCATACAATTTAAAGCAAATACAAGTTGTTTAATTAACAATTAATCTAAAGAAAAGAATAAGGAAAAATGGGAGAGGTTAAAGGAAAACACATCACCCCGCTCTGTGGCAGGGAACATCACAAACAGTGTCCCTGGACATCAGAGCACTTCGCAGTCTGTTCCTTGTAGGTCCCAGATTTCCTTCTCAGGCCCTGGCTGTGCTGCAGGTATGCTGTGGATTGGACACTTGCAATGGTGGTGGCCACACACCTCCGGGCTTTGAGTGGTGGGACCCTTCTTCCCAGCGTCAGCCCCCCGTCCGGTTAAGGTCCCCCTCCCGGTCTGGCCTGCAAGGGCCCTTGGCTGGAGGTGTCTTTCTGTGCTGGGCCCTTTGCCCAAGGTCCCCCCTTTGCTGGCCCCACTTGCTCACCACACTTGGCTCTGTGGCTGCAGCTCTGCTCCCAGCACCGGATCTGCTCTCCCTGGGCTGTGTCTCTGGCTCTGTGGCTGCGTCTCTGGCTCCTCTGGATCTGGCATGGTTCTGCTCTCCTGCTCAGCTTGGGCCCCTGCTTTCTCCTTAGCTCGGCCCCACTCAGTCTGGCCCAGGCAATTCCAGCTCACATGGAGGATGGCACCCACCTTGGCCTCCTGTCATCCTGATTAGCCTGCCCGCCCTGTCAATCAGGCTGACCTGGAGCATTGGCCTCTCGCCATTGTTCCTGGGGACTGTCAGCCTCAGGGTCCTGATTTCCCATTGACCCCTCCCCTTTTAGTGCTGGGAACTAGCCAACCAAAACACCTCCACTGAATGTTAGTAAGGGGCAACAGTCCCCTTACGTTTAGTTTAAACTTTGTCTTGCTATACAAACTGGGGGCTAAGCCAGTATCCTGGTGGCAGGATGTTATTGCTAATACAGAATAGTTGATCATAAAATGATGATCTATAGTATTGAATATGATATCCAATAGAAAGTAGGTCTCCAAGAAGTAAAGCCTTATACCGGTCAAAAGTTGCACTTTGGATATATCTGTATCAATAATATTTTTCATCTTGAGACTGTTTTATCACTTGTATGTCTTTTGATTCCTCGACAGCTATAGTATTGTCTTGCTTGGATATAAAGCATGTGCTTCTTTCCGCAGCTGGGATGACAGCAGCTCCGTCAGCAGTGGGATCAGTGACACCATAGATAACCTCAGCACCGATGACATTAACACCAGCTCCTCCATCAGCTCCTATGCCAACACACCTGCCTCCTCCCGTAAAAACATAGATGCACAGGTAAAATTTCTGTTTCCTTTGAGACATACAGCAGCATTGATGGAGTTATTGTCTCTAAGCAATAGCTACAATCCCTTAAAGTGAATGAGCCTGTCTATTACTTCATCCTTTCAACAGTTCAGTGTTTTCTTGAAATGAAGAATGAAATGCATCAGCATATTTCTTATAATAGTAACCCTAGACTGTGATATTTGGCTCCTTTACAGCCTTTCAGCAACTCACGCTGAAATTGTTGGAAACCTGACCAGAAATAAAATAACAAACTCCAGCTGTCAGAATTTGTTTTGATCAATGTTTAATATTTTACTCTCAGCACTTTCAACCTTAAGGGCTCAATTCCGTCCCCTTTACTGATGTTGAGCAGTACCTGCACAGCTGGTCCCACTGAAATCAGTGGGGCTACTTGCTCAGGGCCGGCTCTGGCTTTTTTGCCACCCCAGGCAAAAAACCCTCCCGCCGCCCCCTGGTGGGGAGCGTGGCAGGGGAGGGCGGCGAGCCCGTCCGGGGTCCCGCTCTCCCCGACTGGCCGGAGCACCAGGAGGAGGGCGGAGAGCCCGGCCGTGGGCCCGCTCTCCCTGATCGGCCGGAGCGCCGGGAAGAGGGCGGCGAGCCCGCTGCGGCTCCGCTCTCCCCGGGTGAGCGCCGCCCCCCTCCAGGTGCCGCCCCAAGCACATGCTTGGTAGGCTGGTGCCTGGAGCCGGCCCTGACTTGCTACCCAGAAAAATTAAGGGAGCAGAGTTAATCACTTTTTTCTGTACATTTTTTCTGTACATTCTCGAAATATTTTACTTTCCAGTTTATTTATTTTTTTTTACAGATTTGCTACTTTGGAAGGCAAGTCTGATCTTTCAGTGTTCCTTTTCTCTTTAACTCCTTTATATCTTTTCAACAGTACCCTTAATACTCCCTTGTGTCAAAATACATTGTGCCATGTGTGCATAACAAGTATGTTTTCTGGAAAGTACTTGGTGTAAACATAATGATCAAATAAGAATTTCTGATATTCGCTTATAAGAAGGTCACTTTAGGAGGAGTTTGCTTAGCGATTGTAATATGTTTGTGCCTTAAAAGGGTGCAGATACATTATTTCCCACATCTGCTCTGAATTGTGCTAAGTGCTAGTTTGGCTGCTGCCCTCCACACCAAAAGTGATGCTATATGTATATGGAGCTGATGTTAAGAAAGGCGAGCACCCACAACTCCCATTGATTTCACTGAGGGTTGTAGGTGCTCAGCACCTATTGAGAACAAGCTTAGAGTTGGTAAAGTGCTATGGGACTGTAAGTGCTTTTTAGTCTTTATTTTAATGAAAAATATTAACACTAGTGGCCTAAGCAACTTCATCCAGGGTCAAGCTATGGAAGGAGTTCAGCACCTTTGTCAATCAGGCCATAGGTAGTTAGTAATTATTCTCTCTGCACACATCCCAGTACAATGGTTATCATTAGTGCTTACCACCCTGGTGGTGTATGGGAGATACCACCATCTTTCTCTGGATGTGAAATTTGTGACATCTCTGCTACCACAGTGTTAACAATTAAGTGTTAATTTTTTAATAGACCCACTGTATATACAACATTATAAGTAACAGATGTGATTTTTTCTTTCGCACTAGAAAGTATACTGTACCATTTATTAAAGAACAGTTTAATTAAGTGAATGCCAGAGTTTAAAGATTATTACACTTTCAGCGGAAATGTAAACACACATTGGCTAAGGAATAGTATTATCTTAAGCTTCCTGGGCTGCACATTATTGCAGGCTTTTTACTTTTGGCAGTATTTCAGTAGACCGTAAATTTCATATCCATAGGCATCATGCATACAACTCTTAGTGCTCAGAAACCACATATCCAAATACAGCAGCAGATGTCCAGTAATTTCATTTTCATACAATAGATTGTTCATCACTAAACGTTGCAATAACATACGTGGTTTTCTTTTCATGTTGATACTAATTTTGTCATGAAAAGTGCAGGACTGAAAAACCCATTTTTGTTCTTTCTAAAACAGCTTATGAAGCCAAGGTGTTTCTGTTATCACAAATGGGACACAGGGTGTCTTATTTTGATATCACATGTGGCGTTGCAAAGGGATCCCTATGGTTACAATTTTTTTAAGGGGGAAGGGGGCAGGTTGGACTGGGTTCTGAATCTTTTTTTAATGGCTGTTTTAATGTAGAAATGTGGTTGCTGTGAAGGGTTGCACTGCCTAAAGTACTGTGTTGCAAGAGTGTATGACTCTTTTTTGCCTGGCCATGAGGTTCATATTTGAGCCTACATTAAAGATTTAGCCTCTGGTTATGTCAGTGATTTCATGTGTGTTTGAAATTGCTAATGCAAGTCCTCCACCAAATTGGAGAAAGGAGTTACAGTCGTTGAAGTACTTCTTCAAGCATGTTACAAAAGGAGTTACACAGGCAACCTGTGAGTTTTCCCCAGAATTGTTAAATTAGAAGTGTCTGAACATTAGAATACAGTGAGGAAAATAAAGGCAAGTGACTAAATATTAGTCTGAAATAGGTGACTGAGTTTGACTCATGCCTTGTAGTGGGTCAGATTCTAGGAAGTATTTCTAAGAGATCACAATCTAATAGTACCACCAAACTTACTTCCCTTTCTCCCACAACCATTCTAGCATCCAAGGGAATGCAAGCTTTTGGTAGAACAATAGGGTTCCAAACTTGCACAGGTAGTACAATCTAGTGATTGGCGGAGGGATGGTCCCCCGGGATGCCCACGGTGGTGAGGCACCTCATCAGCACCAGTTCTTAAGCATCAGGCAGCCTGGTCTGTGCCTGCTGTGAGTCAACTCCCTGAAGCCACTCACTTCTGGCAACATAAGTGCTACCTTCTAGACCTCTGCAGGCCTTGCTCCCTCTTTGTAGATTAGTGAATGGCACACACAAATCCCCAAGCCATCTCCAAGCATTCCCTGTAGTGTCCAGTCCCTTATCTACTGAACACTCACAGAAATATCAGGTCTGCTGTTCCGAAAGGAACATGCAACTTAGGACCAGCTCTTTGCTTAATACTAGAGCACTGACATATAGTTATACTGAAAACAAGAATATTATCAAATACTAGAGATTCAGGAGATAGTGAATAAGGATATTGGAAATGATTATATCTAAACAAGTTCATTACACGCTCTCTAGAGGCTAAACTTAAGTAACAGGTAAAGTTACTGAGTAAAGAAGTTTATCTCACCCTAAGTTCTCTTTGGTGTTTTCAACCAAGGTTGGCTAAGCGCAGTGGCGGATTAATAATTTAGCCGCCCCTAGGCCAGGAAATAATTGCCGCCCTGGTCCCGCCCCAACCCCGCCCTTTTCCCGCCCCCATTCCAACCCCCTCCCCAAAGTCCCCACCCCAACTCCACCCCCTCCCTTCCCCTATTGGATCCCTTCCCCAAATCCCTGCCCCCGGCCCCGCCTCTTCCCCCGCGCGCAGCGTTCCCCCTCCCACCCTGCCCCGCAAAACAGCTGTTTCGCAGCGCAAGCGCTGGGAGGGGAGAGAAATAGGACACGGCGGCGCGCTTGCACAGGAGGCGGAGGTGAGCTGGAGCAAGGGGGCGGGGCACGGAGGGGAGCTTCCGCCCCTGCAAATTTGCCGGCCTAGGCCTTGTTGGCCTAGGCAATAATACGGCACTGGCTAAGCGCCTGTGTTCATGAATGCAAATGTGATGTCCGTTTACTTCCCTAGGTGCAGGGTCTTCTAGAAATACCCCCAAAATTCATCGTCTTTACTCTTACACAGGATAACCTCCCATGGCTCGTTTTTTCCTGCATGCTCTTTCCTGGTGATTTCATCTCTCTTCATAAACATTTGACTTTGTATGTAAATGGGTTTCCACTGTGTTAGCTTACAATGCTTAATATACATCCCAACAGAGAGATGGTGGCTATACCTTGGTACAGACTCTTAAAAACATATTTTCAGTATATCTGTACATACTTTTGGTGGTGATATTGATGATCAGTGTGACACCAGCTTTCATTTGAGACCTCTCATGACATTCTTTGGTGAACCAAAATGAGTTCCTGTAACCCACTTCCCTCTTGGCATTAAGGGCTTCTTGGGTCACACCAGGATGAATGGGTTATATTTGCAATTCTGCCATTTACTTGCCGTGACCTATTGCTCAGTTTACCCATTTTATAATGCCTGTGTGAGAGAATTATGAGACTATCTCACAAAAATATTTAAATTCTTTAAAGAATTTCTGATGTGTTCTGCTGTCCTTAAATGAAAGGTGCTGTTAACTGCAAATTATTATTCACAAAATACTTTATTTCATCTCTTAAAAGCCAAATCCTAATCTCACCAACATAGAGCAAGTTAATGGGCTTTGACTGTGGGAATCTTGCTTAGCTTGGGAGTGGACTCAGAAGTAATGCCGCAGCTTATGAAAGTGGAGTGTTATATATTGGCCACCACGCTCCTCCCTCTCTTGTATTCTTTGCTTAGACCCATGTATTATGGTCTTTGCCTATTCGTATTTGTCGTCTTCTATGTGGTGAGCCGCAAAGACCTGGCACAGAGATCTTCACAGCACACGGGGATGTGGTGTATCCGTTCTCAAGGGTCCCTACTGCTTTGGTCCCCGTGTCACAGGTTCATAGCTTTTTAGTTGTGGTCTTACAACATCTGTTTAAGGGAGTGCAGGGTTTGGATTTCAGATAATTAAAGAGAGATTGTGGAGCTCATGCATGTGAAACTGGGAGCCCAGACCAACAATACAACATATCAAAAGGGGAGGGCCCTCACATGTTAGTCTCTGTAGATGTAATCAGTAATACATATACAGTATTATCTTAACAAAAGAAACAAGAAAGGCAAAACAGAAACAAATCTAATTCTGCTAAATACAAGACCAAGGAACTGATATTTAGATGTACTGAGCACCCACAACTTCAACTGAAGCCAATGGAGCTGTGAGAATTCAGCACCTCTGAAAAACTGACTGTAAATGTGGTAAAAGTTTAAATCTATGTAGAAAATTCATGGAGGTTGTTCCTTCCCACAACAACCAAAAAAACCCCTAAAATTCCATCATACACATCTTCTGATGGGAAGTAAGAATTAGAAGACATTTGAAAAGAACTCAAACTGCAACAAGAATTGGGAGAGAGAATGAGATAAAATAGCTTGGAAGTTTTGCTGGCAGTAGATTAAATGCTAAAATAATTCACAAGAAAAAGCAGTTCCTTCACAAAGGTAACAGCAGCAGTAAATTATCAGATGAGTCAAGTTATCTAAAATCAAGACCCCATTATTTGGAAAGGAAGGTAATGGAACCTTTTTAAACCAAGCAAATCTCTGGGTTTGCTATTGTAGTCATAAAGTTCTAAGAGTCTCATTAGCTGGTTAAGGTTGCTCCCGACTCAGCCAGTTGTCAGTCCTTGTTCACCTATTATGTCCTGTGCGCCTTCTGATGACCTTCAGCAGACAGCTGCACCCCCGTCTCAGGATTTCCAGGTTCATCCAATTTAATGGTCTCTCAAACTGGGTGGCGTTTCAGCTAATGTTGGAATGGCAAGTTTCTTTGTGTTTGGGTTCTGGGCCTCAGCCATGTTTCTGTTCTGTTCTCATTGTCTGGCATGAAACCGTAGCAGCTATGGTCAACTTGTTTCACGAGTGGACATGCAAAATTTCAAATACCAGGGAAGGTGATGCTTAGTACAATAGTTGCATCAAATAAAGGAAGGTGTGGTACAATAATTGCATCAAATAAAGTTGAAGAGAACAAAGATGTTACATTGTCAGAGAACTCGCTCTTAGGCACTCTCTGGTGGTGAGATTCTATCTTTCTTTTGTTTTCCAAAGGCAAACTAGGGAAGTGTAAAGTAAAGGAACATTTGTCAGTAGGCACCCAAAAGTGTGTTAAGCACTTCGGTGACAAGTAGACATAAGTCCTACTCTGGAGGGTTTGTAGGATGATTAGACAATGGACTGGGAGTAGCATACACAGGAAGAAGACGACTGAATGGTGATGATAGGCTTGGATTTATTGGTTCCATTTTTTGTTTGTAAGAGGTAGATAAACTTAGGCAGTAGTTAAGTGAAGCTACATTGTAGTGAAGAACACCTGGGAGATGTAGCCAGATTCTGTTGTTTTATGACAAAGCTGATATTGTTCACAAGTTTATAGTCACAAACATTAAGCCCCAAATCTTGTATCCATCAGAGGGGTGTAAGGAGAAAGCAATATCGTGTTTCTCAGAATTGGGGGATTATGCTGAGACCACTTTTTTTGAATAGTGGACTATGTTTTATCATTTAATGAGCTAATAACAAGAAAAATAAAATAGCCCCAACTATTTCATACAACTGAAATAAACCATTACAGTTTATGGTGTTGGCTTTCATATACTGAACACTTAGAGGCTATTTTTTCTTGATCTCTTTTAAATATCACAGTAAAAGGCAAAAGAAATTAAACCAAAAAATCCCCTTCACTCATATAATATTAGGGATGTGATGTGATCAAAGAAAATAAATTATAAAACTATAGACAGATTCAGGGAGATGGGAGGTTTCAAAATAAAATGTAGTATCTTGCAGAGAGCATATTAAATTGTCAGTCACTTTTTTCTGTATTTACTTTTGCCATTTTGCTGATTACCCAGGTATCTGAGGGTGTTTTTTAAAAAAGCTCTTGGTTAGTTAAGACCAGATCTTTTGAAGTTCTTGAAAGCCTAATACAAGGTTCTCACCACCCTCACCTCCCCTGGGGCCAGTGGGATGAAAGCACTTTTCAGCATGTTGCAGAAACAGGCCTTAGGTAGCCTCCTTCTGCACAACTCAGTTCAGTGAGACACAAGCAAGTTTGGATTGACAGTTGCTTCCATGAAGGTGCTGTGATTAGAGAATAACCTTAGCTATCACTTGGAGTTCACATTCTCCAAGATGTGGGTGGTGGTCAACTTTTATAATTGGTTGTGATATTACAGACTTCCAATTGTTTATCACAAAATAAGTTTGGCAGGGGAAACCTAATTCAGTAAGAATTTTTAATAGGTGTATCTTTTAATAAACATTTTTAATAGGAAAGGAAAGGGAGAATGGGTTTGGGAATATATAGGATAATATAATGGGATATTGATAGGGTTGTGTGGAATTTGGCTATGGTTTGTTCAGGGGGTTATTCCATCCTTGAGCGTGGTTGTGCAGAATTCTCCATAAAGCATCTGACTTTATAAATGGGATGTGCAGTAGGATTGGCAAAATATAAAAAAGAAAGAGATGGAGTTTCAGTGCAAATTATGAACTAACTTGCTTTGGGGATTTAAGTCGGATTTTAATGTGGTATAATGGGGTTTTATTTCTCTCCAGATCTTGGGTGTCTTTTTAATGGGTTAGATTAAAACTAACAGCATTCCACATCTCTCAGTCTATGCAAAAAGCGACCTCATTGTGCTCTTAAGATCAAATTGCCAGACGAGAGGTAGGAAAGCAGCAAGAACAAAGAAAACCTAGCTGCACGTGTTTGAAATGATCTTTATGCATTGCACTGAAAGGGTTCACATAAAATTCAAGGAGGAGGTAAATGGCAATGAACTGAGTATTTTCCTTATTATTTATTAATCAGATGTTTGGTGTGTGTTGGATAGTTGGTGGTTTTTGGTTTTGGCTTTTTAGTGATTGTTCCCCAGTGTATCAGAAAGCAAACACAGTTAGTAGAATTCATTTATCTTGGCTTTTGCCTGGCAAAAAGCAGGCTTAACAAACAAAAGTAAAATGTCTAAGTGTAATCAAAAATTATTAGTGATTTTTTTAAATCAGCTTGGTGGTTCTAGATTTTGAACCCTAAAAAAAGGAAGGATTTCAAAAAGGAATTTGCAGTAGAGATTCTGTTATGATTTATTGTTTCCCTTAGACTGATGCAGAAAAGCATTCGCAGGTTGAGCGGAATTCCCTGTGGTCCAGTGATGAAGTCAAGAAATCTGATGGAGGATCAGATAGTGGCATAAAGATGGAGTCTGGATCTAAATGGAGGCGAAATCCTTCCGATGTGTCTGATGAATCTGATAAAAGCACTTCTGGTAGGAAGAACACTGTCATTTCACAGACTGGTTCCTGGAGGCGGGGCATGTCAGCTCAGGTTGGCATTACTACACCGAGGACTAAACCTTCAACTACCTCAGGCTCACTGAAGACACCTGGATCAGGTGAGGAAAAATGTAATACACAGGCAGGCCAACAGTTTACAATGGAGAAATAAAGTGCTTAACTGCTTTCCTGTGGCAGGAGCTGAACTTCAACTCATTCTATATTTACTCGTAGATTTTGTTGTGTGTGTGTGTGTGTGTGTGTGTGTGTGTATATATATACAAGATACTAAATCTCTGTGTTTCTGTTTTATGGCTGTATGTGAATTTTAAATGATACTTATACTAAAATGCTTTGAATATTGTTTGCCTGTTTTGAATGTCCCTTAAATTAGACTGTTCGTTGGACACAGTGTTTGCAGTTCAATATTCTTGTTTCTTGTAATGGTAATTAATGGAACTCCATTTTCATAGTCCTGGATTAAGAGTAACTCAGAACCTAGACTTCATGTGGCTAAGGATAGTTGTGTGAAAGAAGCTTTTTCACTGCTAAAATAGCAACTGCATCTTAATTTATATTAAAGCAATTTTCAGATGGACTTCATCAGAGCTCTTAGCACATGCAAATTTGTGCTTGAGCATTAATAGTATTTGTGCATGCAAATAGATGAATTACACTTTCACTCACACTTTGTTGTATACCCTATTGTGAATGGAAATTTCAAGGTCTGGTTTGAAAATGTGGCCTTCACCAGTTATATACACATTTTTTCTAAAGCTTATTTATTGTTGCCATATCATATCACTTCACTATTGACAAAAAGGGATCCAACCAATGGTAGTCATGAATGAAAAACACTTCTTATTTATCTGTCACTCTTACTTAACAATCTGTTCACTGTTTTTTGTATTCTCAAGGTAAACACACCAGATACTCTCTCCTGGCAAGTCTGCATATATAACTCTCAGTAGTGCATTATAGTTTAATACAAACTGGATCATAATGCTTAACCACACTTCTGTGGCTAGAATACTTTTGTTTTTCATGATGCTTTGATGCTTACCATTTGCTTAGCATTTTCAATTTAAGCATTTGACTTCTTTTTCTATTTTTTAGGGAAAACTGATGATGCCAAGGTATCAGAAAAAGGTAGACTTTCTCCTAAAGCTGGACATGTTAAACGTTCTCCATCAGATGCAGGACGCAGCAGTGGTGATGAATCCAAAAAGCCTCCCACAAGTAACTCTAGAACAGCTGCTGCTAATACAAATACATTTGGATTTAAGAAACCGAGTGGGTCAGCTGGCGGCATGACTATGATTACTGCCAGTGGCGCGACTATCACCAGCAGATCAGCTACACTGGGCAAAATCCCCAAATCATCTGGACTCATGGGTCGGTCCACTGGTCGGAAAACTAGTGTTGATGGCTCACAAAACCAGGACGATGGCTACTTAGCACTTAGTGCCCGCACTAATCTTCAGTATCGTAGTTTACCCAGACCCAGTAAATCCAGTAGCAGAAGTGGAGCTGGTAATAGATCTAGTACCAGTAGCATAGACTCCAACATAAGCAGCAAGTCAGCTGGGTTGCCTGTCCCTAAAATGAGAGAGCCAGCTAAGGTATCCCTCGGAAGCTCTCTGCCAGGTCTAGTCAACCAAACAGATAAAGAGAAAGGGATATCGTCTGACAACGAAAGTGTGGCTTCATGTAATTCTGTTAAAGTGAACCCTGCATCACAGACTGCTTCTAGTGGAGCTCAAAGCACTCACCAACAAGGAGCCAAGTACCCTGACGTGGCCTCCCCCACTTTGCGCAGGTAGGCACAAAATTTATTCATTGTGGAAGTACATTAACTGGAGTTATACAATTGTGGCTGTTTAGGCCAGGGACTGGCTAAGTTTTGTGGGCACTTACTAATGCGTGTGCTAGGTTGAGGTCTTTGTACTGAAATTTAATTTCACAGCTAGTATATACATGTGCTAATCAGGGCCGGCTCCAGGCACCAGCTTGTCAAGCAGGTGCTTGGTGCGGCCGCTCCGGAGAGGGGCAGCACGTCCAGGTATTCGGCGGCAATTTGGCAGACGGTCCCACACTCCGCCTCCGCTTTTCTTTTTTTTTTGGCTGCTTGGGGCGGCCAAAACCCTGGAGCCGGCCCTGGCGCTAATAATATTGTAAATATTTATTGCATTACGAGACAGCAGCAAATTTAAACATTTGAAATTGATTGTTAAACCCTCCCCAAAATGCTCGCAGTTGTGGCTGATTCAGAATAAAGTTAGTACTTGAAAACATTATAAAGGCTGTAATATAAACCCACAGCAACAAGGTTACAGGCTCCTGTAGAACTATTGATTCCACCCCATTGTACTTACACATCGTGCAGCAACACAGGGAAACTGTCCAAAGTTCAGCCAGATTTACACATGGAAGTCAATGGAGTTACTCCAGATTTGCATTAGTGTGAGAACGTAAATATACTGGGTCAAATTATATTTGTTCACTTACTTGGCCCAATACAGTGTCTCACTCTGTTGCATGTAACGTTGTCCTGTGTGGTGAGACTCTTTACCATAGGTTCCCAAGTAGGGAGGTACAGAGCAGCTTAACTAAAGGTACTATGTCAGCCGCATTGAATTTTCTTATTTTTTACAAAAATCTTCTTACATGTAATGATCTATTTCCTAGCTCTTTCTGACTGTATATATTCTCCTCCCTTCCCCATTATTTTTAACACAAGTACTTGGGTGAGTGGGAGTTAATTTCCTTGCTTTTCTGCAGCATTTGCATCAATGTCTTGACTGTAGCAACTATATACATTAAAATTATTTTCCACTTTAATTTTACATCGTAAGTAACATAGTCTCTTTTGAGTTGCAGTGTTCTGGATTTCATTGTTGTCTTGACATCATAATTTCATCTCCATACAATTACACTGACATTATCCTACTTCAAATGAAGTGAGGATGTCACGTTCCATTCAAGTTGCCAACTTGAGCGTAACTCTTGTAATGGTAGTTTGGGTTCCAGCTAGGCACAAAAGGAATACTTCATTTCTTTTTAGGTGAATGGCCATCTTTGAAAAGCCTGTGCAAGTATAATTCAGCATGACCTGGTAGTTTAGTGATTCTCCTATTTCTGGACATCATTAGAAAAGTTATGTCTAGCTGAAAATTTAATTTCTAGCAATTGCTATTTTAAAACAAAAAACTAAAAGATTGTTTGTTGTTATGATATTACATCATAAATGAAAAATGTCCATGTTGCTTGCCTCAAATATATTAATAATCAAACTCAATCATACATTTCTGTTGATGACCAGAAAACCATTTTGCTAGATCCTTCATTGGTATAACATTTGAACTACATGCAACTTTTTAGAATAGACACTGAGAGAATATCAGGTGTCTTGGAGAGTTTTTTGTGGAGGAGGTCAAGGTTTAAGCTAAACCTTCATTTTCTTTGTTAGCTATTTCATTCTTCAGTTGTCACCAGACTATGTACATAAATGTATGCCTGGCACAGCTAAATCGTTTTTAGTGGAATTTGCCCAGTGTGTGTATTGCTGGGCACTAGCCCTGTCGTGTAATATTGAGAATTTTGTTGCACTCTTTGTGTTTAATTAATATTCCATGCTGATTTTACACAGAAAATAAGCATCTGTAACTATAAAAAGACAGCAGTAAAGACTGCTACTGCTATATGTTAAATACTATCAACCTTAAATCTGAAAGCAAATATATTTTCTACACTTCTATGAAGAGTAAAATTCCATAATTACAATTATTTTATGAAAGTCTAGCCCTGTCTTAATTGTTCCAGCATATCTCATCTAGCACTTTCTGTCATGTGAAAACAATTTATATTACATAGAAGACCATGCATGTTTTTATGCCACTTGTTTGTGAGCCTTAGTGTTCACTCTTCTCCTGATGCATCCCTATGGACACAACCCAACAATCAGCTCAGTTATGCCTGTTTCTTATCAAAACTAGGAGAGGAGCAAAAATATTTTTATTGTCTGTAGGATTTCTCCTTCCAAGGTTAACCTTTATTCTGACACTGCCAACTTGCTGAGTTGGGCTGGTTCTGCATTCAAAAGGTACATTCTTCAGACCCCAACCTCCTTGGATGTTCAGCTCCATGACTCTTTTTTATTTATTTAATTGCCTCATTTAATTAGGTTTGAGAAGCAGCATGCCAGGAGACATTATCCATACAAGATCATCCCAGTGGGGCTGGGAGTCAGACATATTGACTATATTCTAGGTGGTGACAATCTGTTTTAAAGAAAGAATTTGTCATTCTTCTACAGTAGCACTATGAAAATATCCCTATCTCCCTCTGAAATCTTTTACAGTCTGGTCTCTGAGTATGCATTGGGGGATAATTAGTTTCTTTTGAGGTATTGACTCCAAGTTCCGAGAAAAGTTAGCATTAGTTTGGCCTCAAAAATCTCCATTAGTCAAAGATGTTCATCACCTTCTTGGTCTGATGGCAGCTAGTAAATGCTTGTTGTAAGTACGCTCAGGAAACTAAGACCAAAGACGAGATTAAGCTAAACACCCTCATAGTACATTCTAGAAGCAGGGCTTGCTATATAAATTGCAGGAATCTCCACTATCAAATCACCTCTATGTAGTGATCGTATCTGGTCCTAAGCAGAAGAAATCTAGGACTCCCTTAAGGAAGTTGTTTAGGGATAATAGAAAATGGCATATTGTTATGTTTCTAGAGAGAGCTGTCTGAAATGTCCTAATCACTGCTCCTAGTAGGTGAAATTTTCAAAAGCACTTCAGTGATTTAGGAGCATATGTCCAATTTTCAAAAGTGGTTTAGGCACTTAGGAGCCTAAGTGCCATTGACTTGCAATGAGACTTAGGTTCCAAAGTGCTTACGGCCCTTTGAAAATGGATATCTTGAATAGCTTAGGTGCTTTTGAAACTTTCTCCCAATAGCTCTTATGAAGGTAAGGCTATTTGCATGATTTAGACAGTGCAATGTTTTTTAGCGGAAAATCATAAGACTTTCCCTGCTAGGTGTCATTGGCTTTTGTAGGAGATTTCTTCAGATACTTACTTTTTGTATGGACCACTTAGTGATTAGTACAAAAGTCAAACTATTTTCCTCAGAGATCTATGTTATCTTTCAAAATATGATTTGAGTGATCTGTATTTATAGATCTGAACTACAGCCAGTCTAATATTCCATGCTTTAAAGTAATCAGTTCAGTATTATCACAGGTAAAATCCATTTCCCTCAGGAAACAGAAGATAAAATGGCTAATATTTTTTAGTTCTGTGAAAGTTATATTTGAAGGTTGAGAGAAGGAAAAGTTAAGATGTGTCTGAAATTGGCATAATAATTTTCTCAGGGTTTTATTAATGGCAAGGAAGGGAAAAGGAAACCCATCAATTCAAGGTTGTCTATATGAATCTAAGAAAAACCATTTACGGGCAGGACATTTCTTTAAGGCAAAGCCTATCTTTCTTTTTCTTTTTTCGATTTAGCTAGCAACAAAAAAATATTTTTCTGAAGCACCAGTTTTCAGTCTATTATCATAGTTATCATTGTATCATTTCCTATAGATGTAACATCTGGGGTCTCCATATAATTGAATATGTAATTTTCCAATGATAGCTTTTCAGGACAAATATTATATGTATAAAATATCTTTTGTACATTCCATTTCATGAAGTTTTTGTTACATTCTCTGAACTTTTTTTACAGACTTTTTGGTGGAAAACCAAGTAAGCAAGTTCCCATCACAACAGCTGACAATATGAAAAATTCAGTGGTGATCTCCAATCCTCATGCTACCTTGAGCCAGCCGGGTAACCTTGATTCTCCTTCTGGCAGCGGTATACTGAGCAGTGGGGGCAGCAGTCCTCTTTACAGTAAAAACACAGATACGAACCAGTCTCCGTTAGCCTCTAGTCCCAGTTCCGCCCATTCAGCTCCCTCCAACAGTTTAACTTGGGGTACCAACGCAAGTAGCTCTTCCGCTGTTAGCAAGGATGGCATTGGATATCAGTCTGTCAGCAGTCTTCACACCAGCTGTGAATCCATTGATATCTCTCTCAGCAGCGGAGGTGGGGTGAGCCATAACTCATCCAGTGGCTTGATCGCAGCTTCTAAAGATGATTCTTTGACTCCCTTTGTCAGAACCAACAGTGTTAAGACAACTTTGTCTGAAAGGTGAGTAGGTTTAAATTTAGACTCCATTAATATGTACTGTATGCTCATATCTTAAAAATCAGTGATGTGACAACTGTAACTAACATTCCATGATTTCAATTCAGATTGCCATTCCTACAAGGTAAATATTGAAGGATACTACCACAACATACAAAAAATGGCCATTTCAAGCAAGGAATTCAGTTCTGAATTACATTAAGCGTGGGGATGGGTTCAGAAGAGTCTTTCATTTGCAATTGCCACTGCTATGGGACATTTTAAATTACTCAGTGCTACCTCATATTTGAATTTCACATATCTTCTTATCTTTCTGTATCAGCTGATCTAGTTGTGGTGCACAATACACTCCACCAGCATTTTAATCTTGTCTTGAGAAGCCAAGTATTTCTGATTAAAATTAATGAGTTTTTTTTAATAATATTTCACACAATTAGGATCTGGACAATAAGTGCTTGGATACTGTGGTGATTAGTCTGGTATATGAATCGAAGTAGAACAGAAAATTTCTTTCAGAGCAAACAATAAGCGTGCACTGTCTGTAGAAGGCAGTGTAGTTTGAAACCTTGGAATTTAGCCTTACCTTATTGTATGACTTTGTTACTAAAACTTTGTTGCATCTTTGTAACAGAAAACAACTACTAAAAAAAATGTTCTAACGGTTTTTTGTTTTAACTACTTCCCCTTTCTCTCCTTTTTTCATGCTAATATTCCTTCTCTTGTTTTCTGTCTCATTGGACTTGTTCTTCTAGCCCTCTCTCTTCCCCTGGTGCTAGTCCCAAATTCTGCAGAAATACTTTACCCAGGAGACAGGACAGGTAATGCTGTCTCAAGGCAGTAGAATGCACAAAGGCTCTGGGTTTTGTTGCCCTCATTTATAAAGCAAAGTGTCTTGTGAGAGACGGGCTCAGTTGAGACCTCTGTTGTGTTTGTTTTTCAGATGTAAATTGTGACACATAGACATGCCAGTGAGAGTCCACTTAATTAAATCTGGGGATGGCATACGGCATAGTTGACAGATGTAGTTTGTGGGTTTTTAGTTGGGTTGTTTGGTTTGGTTTGGTTTGGTTTGGTTTGTTTCTTTGCCAAAGGCAATTTTAAAATCCTGCAATTTGTATCTACCATGATGAACTCTCACTAGCATTTCAGCATTCCTATGGCATGCAGCTTTCTTCACTGCGTTTCAGGCTTTTCACCTTTGTCATGAAGTTCAAGTGTTGTTCAGTACACTCAGTGTTGTAAGTCCTTTACTCCAGTTTGGTTCGTAGGTGTCTTGCAGGCTTTTGTGTGTGTCTGTTCTTGTAACAATGAATGCAGGAAGATGGGAGATAGTGGACATGAAGCTAATGGTTCCAGCTTGCTTTTGCAATCCGCTATGATATTGCCACTTCTACATATAGGAATTGACAGTGATATTAGCTAGAGGGCTTGACAGTAAATTATTTTATTTAAACATGATATATTTATTTCAGTTAAAAACAAACCCTCCTCACAAAATGAAAAGCAAGTTGTTCATTTGCCAGTTATGTGAAAACACAACTCTTTAAATATTTGATTTTTGCAAATACTAATAGATTGATATCCCACTGAAGATGGAATTTCAGTTGAAATACAGAAACACTGAAAACTCTGGGCCCATTTGAAAAAGCTGCCACTATATTTACATTGCAACTTAGGCCTGGTCCCCACTAACCCCCCACTTTGGACTAAGGTACGCAAATTCAGCTACATTAATAACGTAGTCCAAACTTACCGCGGGTCCAGACGCGGCAGGGAGGCTCCCCCGTCGATGCCACGTACTCCTCTCACCGAGCTGGAGTACTGGCGTCGACGGCGTGACTTCTGGGATCGATCCCAAAACATCGATTGCCTGCTGCTGGACCCTCCGGTAAGTGTAGATGTACCCTAAGGTTGTGTCTACACTACAGCTTATGCTGACATAACTTATGTCGCTCGGGGGTACATATAAACCACGCCCCTGAGCAACGTAAATTACGCCGGCATAAGAGCTGCTTCCGCTGACATAGCTTCTGCCGCTCGCAGCGTTAGTTTTTTTATGCCCTCTCCCGTCAGCATAGAATGTTTTCACCACATGTGCTGCAGTGGTGCAGCTGTATCACTACTGCTGGGCCGCTGCAGTGCTGTTCATATTGACATGACCTAAGTGATAGCAAATTATTGCACTTGCTCTGTGATGAAGGCAGAAGGAAATGGTATGAGGGCATCTTTTGACTTTGAGATACTATCAGTATTCACAAGTAGGTGGCTGCACGCCTCTTTAAATGTATATTTTGAAGCATTAATTTAAAGCATGTTCTTTTATTTTTTAAAGAGCCATTTTTGTTCAGTATGAAAAGGGGAAATAGCAAGGCCACTATTGTGAGCAGATGAAATTCATTAGCATGATACCAAATGCATGTATAACACAATCCACACATGCCTAGGAGGCTTTTTTTTTTTTGGTTTGTTGCATGTTTACTTAGATAGGGTGCATCACTTTTTCCTCTGAAAATGTGATGCAGATGTTTATACTTCTCTCCTCATCCTGATTTTTAATCCTCCCCTTTTGTTCTTCTCTGAAGTTCTTTTCTTTTAACTTTTCTACAGCGACCCACATCTTGATAGGAACACTTTGCCTAAGAAGGGATTCAGGTATTGGTGTTTCCACATAGTATAACAGCTTTTGTTGTGGTTTTGGAGCTTTGCTTTGTGTTTCTGTTGTGGCTGTTCGTGGTAGTCTCTGCTTTTGCAGGGGGTGGCAGCAATCTTTCTTTCTTTCTTTCTTTCTTTCTTTCTTTCTTTCTTTCTTTCTTTCTTTCTTTCTTTCTTTTTAAAGTCCTCAAAGAAGGCCTTTTTCCAACATGTTTCTTTTCTTCATCTAGTGGCTTCACTGCTTGAGCAGGAACTGTGGCTTTTGCTGGCTGAATTGCTGAAAAGCGTCTCATAAACCATCATTGGGCTTGATTTGAAAGCAATAATTTGCAGCTTTTATGGCTAGTGCACTAAACTAGGTGTATTCATTTTCACAATACAGTTCCTGGAACCCTGAAGATTTATTTAAGAAAAAATTGATTTACAACAACTTAATGAACTTCTTAGGATGAAATTGAAAAAAAAATCATTTTAAAATTGTTTGCACTTCAGAATACACTTTTAATGGATCTCTAGAGAGACAATCTGTGAGCTGATAAAAAAAAAAATACAACCTGACTAACATTTGGTAAATGTCTGTTTCTAAAACACCATTGATATGTAGGGGGTATTGAAATCTAAAAAAAAAAGCACCGAGAAACATTTTTTCTCCCTTAGTAGACGGAAGCAATTTTAGTGACATTATTTACTTTAAGGCTACAAATTAAATGCTTTAAGTCGATGTTACAGAATTCACGGAAAATATCTGGCCAGTTTAAAACATTTAAACTTTGACTTGCTTTATGCTGCTTTTAGGATCACTGAACCGATGGCTTCAAATTGCAGCTGCATTTTATTCTGCACTATAAACACATTGTTCTTTGTGTCGGCTTTATCACATTGAGCTGGGTGCTAAAAGCATTTCATATAATGAAATTTTTGCGTAAAATGTTTCTATGCCTGTCAAATGTGCATCTAGTTAATAAACGCTATCTTTTAAGATTGAAACATTTGAGGGCTGAAGAGGTAGGTATTAATTTTGTATTATTTTTATTTTAAATAGGTGTTAAAATTGACTATTAAAGGCCCCAGTCTACAAAGATGTATGCATGCGCATAACTTTAAAGATGCGAGTAGTCCTAAATCAGTGATTATAACTATAGGATTGAGGCCTACGGCATAAGAAGATAATGTACTTTTAAAAAACTCTCTTGGCCAAGTTCTTACAAGGTTCATTGTTGTTCTTAATTGGCAAACAATATTTTACTATATTTAATGCAATCTGGTCACCTTTATGCCTAAATTAGATGTTAAATAGAACTCCAAATTAATATGGGTTATGTTTGACTAATTGTTTTTTAATTTGAAGCCAAACCTCTTTATAAAGATATTAATTCCCCATAAATATGTACTTTCTAAGACCGGATGACATATCTTAGCAGAAATACAGAAACCCATAAGTAAAATTCCATTGAGCTTAATTGTGTGCTATTTTTAAGATAAAAGGGGCAATAACATTAGGGCTATTTTTGGACAAAAGTTATACTCTTTGAGTAAAAACAAATATAGCTATTATTTACAAGCTATTAGACCTCATGTAGGTTTGGTCATTTTAGCTTTTAAAAAAACATTAAAAGTATCTTGTCATTTGTCATCTGTACCTGTTTGGCGTATTTTATGACTATCTATATATAAGCAAATACTTCTCTTACAGTATTTCAAACTGACATCTGTATCATTTCACATCTCTCATTATTATTATTATTATTATTATTATTATTATTATTATTATTATTATTATTATTATTATTTATTGTTATTAGTTGTGTAGCACCTACAGTGGACTAGTTACTTCTCACACAGGTATAAGAGCAGGGGGAAAACCCTGCCCTGATTAATATCATTGGGAGTTTTAGAAGGTTAAACATAGTCTCCTTCATAATGATGTAATACTATGAATTTTGAACAAATGTGGTATATTTCCAGGGACCCTATGCATTAATGTCTCCCTAATATGAATCATTGCAATACACCTTGTTTAAAGGCCTACCTTTTAATGGCTCCACTGAGCTGAATCTGATTATAGTATGCCAAAGAGCCATGCTAAAGTACTTCAAAGATGAATTGAGATGTTCAAATAATGATAAAATTGTGGTATAAACTAAAAGAAGAAAAGAAATTCCAAAGTAAGGTGCTGATCCTGCAAATACTGACTTATGTGCTTGACATGTGTTTGCCAAATCAGATCTTAAGGCTCCTTCCCTTGTACTTACCCATTGCAGAATCCATAGTAAAAAGATGCACTTTTTGAACTCCAGTGGAATGAGCTGGGGTTGGGACAAGAGTCTTAATTCAGAATTATATATCTTTTATATCACTTAGTCCTTAAATTTTATCTGAAGATTGTTTTCCCAAATAATATTTCTTTCCAGTATATTTTAAGATAAGTTTTGAAATAATTTCTGGTTTTGTAGGTATACCCCTTCATCCCAACTTCGGAGTCAAGAGGATGCAAAAGAATGGCTACGTTCACATTCAGCAGGAGGCCTTCAGGACACTGCTGTCAATTCTCCATTTTCATCTGGCTCCAGTATAACATCACCCTCTGGAACTAGATTTAATTTCTCCCAGCTTGGTGAGTAATTAAGTGTTATGATAATCAGTGTAACATAATGTGACAGGGTGTACCTGGCCTTTGCAGCTCCCTGCAGTAGGCCCCGCAGTCCTACTTCACCCTGCCTCAGGAAAGGAGCAGTGAAGCTGTCTAGAGAAGCCTCACAGAAGCAGCAAGTCAGAGCCCAGCAGACTCACATAAAAAGAGCTGCAGGGCCTTAGCCGATCAGTTCCTGGGTGGGACCAGAGGGGCATGGAAGGATGCTCCTCTCTGGCCAAAGCAGCTCAAGGGAAACCAGTGTGTGGTTCTGGCTACATTTGCTTAAACTGGGAAAGAGAGGACGTGAAAACTTTAACCCTGAGGTATGGGGTGAAGATAAGGAACTAGGTGGGAAGAGGCCCAGGAAAATAGCGCAGCATTGCAGTAACAGGTACGTGGCTGTGTTTATAGGTTCCTGGGTTGGAACCCAGAATAGTGGGCCAGTCTGGGTTCCCCCACTGACCACCACTAAAATTGTGTAAACCCCGAGAAGGTGACAAAGCTTATTGGGAACCTCAGGTGAAAGGCTGAATTTAAAGGGCCCAGAGCTGGTGCTGCCCAGAACCAAAGAGGGCAGCTAGACAGGTTTTGTTGGACTTTTTGCTACCCTGGAAGGGTTTCGTTTTGACTGTGAGCCAGCTGAAGGGCTGAGTCACTGAAGCAGGAGCAGCAGGTGCTTAAGAGGTGAGTGCCCCCAGTTACACATGTTATCTATTTTGAAAGTAGTGAATTAGACAATGTACCTTTCTTCTCACAGGCCCAAATGCCCTGCCTAGCTCTGGGTACAGCATGCTACCATCTAGCTTCAATTCAGGAAGTATTTATCTTGAAAGTAATAAGATAGGCCTTTGGGTGCTGACCGGTCAGCACTGTTCTGTGGTGTGATCAAAAGTGGTACATCTGAATTGACCTTATTCAAAATGGTGCTGTGCGTATAATCAAATGCCCTACATAAGCTATTCACAGGCCTAAACTACTACTAAATTTGGAAGCACCTAAACTTTCCTACGTACTTATATCTACTTCATCTTTAAACTCCAAGCATATTAACAAAACATCATTTAAGCTTATAATGAAACCAGACAAAGCTTTATCCATCACAATCACAGACAAGCCAGTGGAATTTTAAGTTGGAAAGTTTACCATCCCTTCATTTGGTAACTTGGATTAAAATAAACACGTTTTTAAATGGAAGAAATGTTAAAGTTGCTTAGAAGAAGCTATAAAATTCTGCTAGCTTTAATTAAATGTACTAGCATATGAAACAAAGTAATTTAAAGTTCCCATAGTCCTGAAATTCTATCCAGTAATAGACTTGCTTTCATCGTAAAAGCAATTGCACACTAATTCCCTGTTCATTTAGGGCCCAGTTTAGATACATAAATCAGTACTTAGGCACACAAGTTGGAACATCTGAAACAGGGGGGTTTCAAAATATTTTATATAAGAAACAAATATATTATTATTTATAAACTTTCATTGTCTTTAAAGAGAGATATACAATATGCTTGAACTCTTGCCTGACACTATTTAAAACCATTTATTTCTCTGTGTAAGTATCCATTTATTTTGTGAGTTAAGCTTTCTGTGTGCTGTATGGACAGTTGTCTGTAGAAATCCTGTTATCACAAACACATCTGTCGTCTGCACCAGTTTAAAATATTTCTTAGTTACCTTTGCAGTTTATTTTGATGTGAAAAACATAAATCCTACGAGGTGACATATATATACTTAATGTACTCTAAACAAAGGTGGTATCTCAGATCATCCATAGTTAAGTTTTTAATTTTTGTATTAATTTTTAAAAATCTATATGCTAGAAAGATAAAGCAATAATATGAAAAAAAGTTAAACCTGTGCATGTGATCGATCTGCATCCTAGTATTTATGGAACAGTTTGTGTACTATGTGATTTGTAGAAACTTGCGTGGTCACTTATTTCCAGTGCAATTTTGAGCTGAAACAAAAATGTCCTAGCAACAATTTGAATGCACTGTAAGAAACAAGCTATAAACCAATTCAAAATAGTTTTAGTTAAATCAACATCTAAACCAAAATTCCAGATAAATAGAGAGAGGGGGTAACTTCCTAAAGTGTTAGCAGCAAACAAGCTGCATCAGGAGCATGGAATTATATCACTAGTCAAGCCAAACCAGATGACAGTCTTTGCAGGCTCAGAAAGTTAAAATGTTGGGGCTTTAAACTACTTTAGAATTTACATGAAGATCAATTATATGACCATATTTCGTAAGTAATGCAGCTACCAGAAATGAAGTTCATTATGATGTTGTAAATCATTTTTTTCTTAAATAAATCTTCAAGGTTCCAGGAACTGCATTGTGAAAATGAATACACCTAGTTTAGTGCACTAGCCATAAAAGCTGCAAATTATTGTTTTCAAATCAAGCCCAGTGGTGGTTTATGAGATGCTTTTCAGCAATTCAGCCAGCAAAGTGATAGTTAACTTTATCCTCAATAGAAGAGAAAGGTGATTGATTTGGGTTTTATCCTCGGGACATTTTGGGCTCAAGAGATGCCCTGCAATGGAAGTAAACTTCCACTGACTTCAGTAGCAAGTGCTGGCATGCAGGGTCAAACCCTTTTGGACACAGGTATAATTATAGCTATTTTCAAAGAAAAAAGAAACTGACCTTTTGTTAGAGAAATAGGAACCATATCTCTGATGATAAATGAGCCCAAGATACCAAGAGAACATAATATCAGATATGAAATTATGAAATCAATAGACAGGACTCAGCAGTCAAATCTTCAACTTGACTCCCAACCAACAGTTTCTCAGTCAGAGAAACAAGTGAATATTAACAAACCTAATGGAACATCAGACTTCTGGGTGACAAGTTTGGCTGATGTTATCAATTTTCTCCACAAAGTGATTGAATAATAATAAAAAAACCAGGCATAATTTAGCGCATGCACACACACAAAATCCAGAAAAAAGGTGTTCCTGGATGTAGAACTTACATATTCTAAACAACATTGGTCATCATGGGGTATTTGAGGCAGGGGTAATATTTGTATAAAACCCTTGATCTATGTGTTCTGTATGCATGTATGTATGTGCATCACTCAGTTGTAACTTACTGAGATCCCTTTCTGGAAAACAACAATTGAGAAGTGCAGTACTATTATGAAACTAAAATTCTTTGAATTTGGAGCTACTCTTATATCCATATGAAAATGTCAGTCTTTCTTAGAGCTTTGAAGCAAATACTTCACAAATTATGCTGTTTATGCAAAAGATCGGGGTTCTTAAACGTCATTGCACCGCACCCTCTTCTGACAACAAAAATTATTTCATGACCCCAGGAGGGGGGTCCGAAGCCGGAGGTTGCCTGAGCCCCACTGCCCTGGGTCAGGGGACCCAAGCCCCACCACTTCAGCCCCAGGCAGGGGATCTGCAACCTGGTCCTGCCACCCAGGGTTGAAGCTCTAGGGCTTTGGCTTCAACCCTGGGCAGTAGGGCTCAGGCTTCAGCCTTGGGCCCCAGCAAGTCTAAGCCAGCCCTGGCGACCCCATTTAGAGAACCACTGCAAAAGATCATTTAAATTAGTTTGGGCTCTTTACTCCAGTTGGAGAGAGAATTATTCCAAATGAGTTTAGAATTAATTAGTTCCTGCCTATGAGGTGATATTGACATGACTGAGCTTCCAGTGTAAACATAAAGACTCAAAGACTGTGCCGAAGCTGACCTTTTTATTTTTAACTTAGTTTATATAGCTCTTGTATGAATCCACTATATTGTAGGAAGGAAAGTAAGCCAAGAAGATATGCAGGCAGAAATTTATATATGATTATAAGAAAACAATCTTTTTTTGGTAGCTGCACAAGAAATAGATATGTGAATTTCCTGTTCTACAATATATTCCTTACTTTTTAGCAAGCCCTACTACTGCGGTCCAGATGAGCTTGTCAAATCCAACCATGCTACGGACGCACAGCCTTTCCAATGCAGATGGTCCTTATGATCCTTACAGTGACACACGCTTCCGGAATAGTTCAATGTCACTAGATGAGAAGAGTAGAACTATGAGCCGTTCTGGGTCATTCCGTGATGGCTTTGAAGAAGGTAAATCAAGCATGTGAAGGCACTGCTAATGGACTGGAAACCGTTTACACTGAAATCAATGGAAAAAAGCTCCATTGACTTAAACAGGAATAGGATCAGACCCATAATCCTACCAATTAAATTATTTAAAATTGAATGTTGTTAAGTGTCAAGTTATTTTGTTCTACCAGTTTTGAAAATGGAGGAGAAAAGGAATGTAAGGCAGAATCAAAAGTCCATTACCATTAATGGAAAGACTCCCATTGATTTCACTGAGTTTTGGATCAAGCTCATAAAATGCAAGAAGAGAAAGACAAACAGATAGTAAGGACTTTGCTGATTTGTGTAGACACGAGTATATTGTCCAGCTCATGTGTAAGACTGAAATTTAACTAAAGGGATTGATGGAGGCAAAAGAATAGCATATTTTAATGGAAGGAATTTCAAACAAGATTTTTTTCTTCTGGGTGCATTTTGAGATTCAGCTTAAACAGTTAAATCAAAGATAGGCTAATATGATTTTCTTTTTTCTCCCCTTTCCATAAACCTACCTTTCAGTGTCAACTAGTTAGTGTGTTTACTTTATTTCATATTAACATTCAGAACAATGATTCAGAAGATTTATGACAAGTATGCAATAAGTGTAAAATTTTTAGGAGTATAAGAACAAATTGATGCATATAGATTGAACTATGCAAAATATTTTTCCATAACAAGATTAATATTGGACCAAAAGTGGTGGAACTTAATATACAGGTTGGAAGAGAAAAACTTACTATTAGTATTGCAATTTATTGAAAGGCAAGCATGTTAATCTTTTAAGAGGTTACAGTTAAAATCTAGGCATTTTCTATGGTTAGATTTCATTTTTCAGGATACATTATGTTGCTACTGTGAGGATAAGGTAGCATGGAGTTTATGTTCACACAAAGGTCCTTTGGTATCAGCCCCCTACCATCTCTGCATCCCCAAAGCCCTTCCCTCTTGAAGGAAACAGGCTCTGAAAACCTTTACAAAATAAATTCTTTCCTGGGCTGCCTACAGGCTTTGCTGTGGGAGAGTACAACATCACTAGGTCACTGAGGCGGCGCACACAATCCCTAATGGTGAAATTCTGACTCCACTGAAGTCAATGGGAGTTTTTTTTAGGGGGGGGTCAGGATTTCACTCTTAAGGGTTGATAAAGACTGGTAGGTTGGTAGGTTTTACTTAGAATCAAATTCTACTCTGGATTTATACTGGGGTTACTCCATAGACTTTGGTTAATTATTCCACAGTACAACCATGTAACCAAGTTGAGTTTGTTACATGGGGTTCCAAAGGGCCTAATTGAGCTTTCTGTGAGACCTTTAGTCGAACAGCCAGTGCACATATGTTCTCAGTCAGCATGTTAAGATGTGTTATCTCCGTAGGTGCTGAATAACTGATGCCTGTTTGAAATGGAATTCTTTTTTTAGTAAGGCCATCCTGGGGTCAAATTCTCTCCTCAGATACAGGTGATAATCTCCCACTGGCTTCAAGTCACTCAGTCAGAAGGCCTAATGGATTTAATGTTGTTGTTTTATATGAAAAATGATTTGAGGTATAGGAGCCAAATTATTTTTTCCTGTGTGAAGACATTTTATATAACTCTTACCCTTGTAGCAATTTCAACTTACATCTGGATACTTCTGCAAAGATTTGTCTTACAATAAAAAGTTTATGATGGATGATGCAATTTTGTTTACATTCTTATGAAAATTTGCTCTCAGTAGGTGAAAAATCTGCAGTGAATGCTCTGTATATGATTCCATTATGTGCTTACTATATTGCAAACAGATATGCAATTTGTTTATTTTATCTTTCCTTTAGTGCATGGATCCTCTCTCTCCTTGGTGTCCAGTACATCATCTATTTATTCAACGGTGAGTATCGTGCAATGTAAACCTTCAGCAGGAGCCTGCTGAGAAACGTAATATTAAATATTATTTTGCAGTTGTACAACTTTTTTTAGTAAAACAAATTAATTGATTGGACCAAGTGTGCTAATTGTTTTTGCCATGTAAAGAGGATGGCTCTTTGCATGTAAACATAAATAATGTATGCTACCTATGTAAGGTATTTTTTATGTTCCCAAAAAGGTGTTAATGGATATTTATCACAATACTCATGTTAGCCTGTTAGACCCTGATGACCCAGAAGCAGGAGTTAGTCTCTTGAATCAGCGATCCACACCCGTTCTAAGGAGGTCTTGATACAAAGGACCATAATTGATAGTCCTGGTCTTTTGTGCCAACACCACCCACATTCATTCAATAGATAAAGCCATTTCAGTCTGATAGTTTAGTGATCTGCTAATTAAGAATTCTCTAAGTAGGTCTTAATGCAATGGATTTAATCATTGCAAAGGAGCCATTACTTCTCATTTTGCCAAGAGTTTTTGTATTAAAAGTCTTAATTGCATAGTCTCTTAATAATCTGACATTGCAAGAAGATTTAGGGGTATTGTGGGACAAATAATATAATTATAGTGTTTTTTAAAAAGTGTATTATATTGAAGAGAAGAATGAGGGGGGATTTGATCGCTGCTTTCAACTACCTGAAGTGGGGTTCCAAAGAGGATGGAGCTCGGCTGTTCTCAGTGGTGGCAGATGACAGAACAACGAACAATGGTCTCAAGTTGCAGTGGGGGAGGTCTAGGTTGGATATTAGGAAACACTATTTCACTAGGAGGGTGGTGAAGCACTGGAATGCGTTACCTAGGGAGGTGGTGGAATCTCCTCCTTGGAGGTTTTTAAGGCCCGGCTTGACAAAGCCCTGGCTGGGATGATTTAGTTGGGAATTGGTCCTGCTTTGAGCAGGGGGTTGGACTAGATGACCTCCTGAGGCCCTTCCAACCCTGATATTCTATGACTCTATGACTCTATTCTCTTCTAATACTTTCACAAAAGCATCTTACTTCAGAATATGTAACATTAAAGGTTTACTAAAGGAAAATATATCTGAAAATCTGAACTGGCACTCTGGTCTTTTAAAAACAATGGACAACAATGGAATCCGGGCATTGTGTTAATAGAGGATGACCTTACAAATTGGTATGAAAGTATGATACAACCACACAACTACCATGCATCCATATTTGAAACAATGCTATACTTAATAATGTTATCTTTAAGGGCATGGTCCTGCAATTTTTATTCAGGCAAGTAGTTCTTTTCAAGTCAGTGATACTAACTGCATGAAAGAGTTGCAGGATCAGGCCCTAAAACAGAGAACCTGTTACCTTTGGTTAAAAAAAAAATCACCTTAGACTGTAATCCAATTACATGAAATTAAAATTCAAAATGACTAGATTGTAGAGCCCCTACTCAAATTGGTGAACATTTATTCATATAATTAATCCCATTGAAAACAAGAACACTACATAAGTAAGTGCTCACTATGTGAATAAGCCCTCCACCTTCTCTTCCAAAAGTAATTATGGTCACAATGAATGGTGCATGTAAATGTAAGATGTATTTAAAGTATATTATTCTAAACACTGAATATAAGTTTTAGAGTATCAGGATTACTGCTAGTAAATTTAATTTCAAACTAAACAGAGCCAAACATGTTCAGAAATACAGAACTAAGATTATTGATTTAGATTGATATAATGTCAAAGTTTTTAATGGTGAACATGGTGGTACGCAGTGGAATTATTCATGTGAATAAAGTTGCCTGCAAACACCTATATATGCTGAATCAATAAGTAATAAGTAAGGACTCCTATTTTGAGTTTTACTTGTAAAAAAAATTTGACCTATGCTAGTAATGAACTATTGTAAGTTCCTCATATGTTTTTTCCTGATTTTTTTTTGTTGCAGCCTGAAGAAAAATGCCAGTCAGAGGTAAGGAGCAATATGGGTTTTGTAAACATAAACTTTCAATCTAGACACTTTGCATGAGTGTCTTACACCTCTAATTCGGTAGATTACGGTACAATAAACTAATCTTTTAAATACAATATTTAGATTCGCAAGCTACGAAGGGAGTTGGATGCATCCCAGGAGAAGGTGTCAGCTCTAACAACTCAGTTGACTGCTAATGTGAGTACAATTCAGAAAAATCGAGGCTGATAGATAAATTATGTAGTGCACAAATCACCATCCCACTTTTCCTAATTAGCAAAGAGATCACTAGTCTATAATAATCAATTCAGGTCACATATTTGTGTTAAAAATAAATATATCCATTTTGGGTCAATCTGAAAACAAAAAGCTGTCTATTCTAGTGTTCAACTGATTATTTAAAAAAAACATTAAATACAGTTATACTGATTTGGCTATTCCTTTTGTATATGTACAGCATGGAGGTACATAGGTTTGGTTAATGCTGAAAGAGATTCTTTGAAGACTCAGTTCTCATCATAAAAGTGGGTCTTTCATTCACATATAGGTGTCAAAGGGGTCATAAGAGACAGATGAGAATTACAGGGGGTGCCCATGAGAAATGGGAAACCTGATTTAAATGCATTATGTTTTCCCATAGCATACAAACCATGCAACAGTGTGGGTTGATGGCAAGGGTAGACAAAACTGACTCACAAAAGGGGCCCTGAGAACCAGTTTATGGCAGGGTCTACGAAGCATAATGCATCTGATTCAAATCAGAGTGTGCTGTGTTTTCACTTGTTTGCCTTGAGGAATATTCACTACCATGAAATAACTATCTTTGCATGCTGTTTGGAACAAAGGATTGAAAACCAAGGACACATTGGGGTTTTAATCCCCATTGAGTCAACACTGTGTAATCACAGGTGGCTGAAATCCTGGTTAAAAAAAACCCAGAAGCTCACTGGAGAAATAAGTGATTCCAATGTAAATAAGACAAAAATGAATAGTGACCATTTAAAAACCATTCTAGGATTATGGGATGGGTAGATGTGAGAACTCAGTTACCAAAGCGGAAATCGTGGCCATTAGCTCTTGAATGAGTAGTAATAGCAAATATATCAACATGAAGAATGAGTTTGACCTGAGTGATACTATCCTTCACAAAGTGGAAATCAGAACTAGAGCTAATGTATATCAGTGTGTTGGCCATACACACTTGAAAAATACAAAAGGGAAGCCAACTGAATTGTTAACATATAGGTTAAGGAAAGAAAATTAAGGCTACATCTAGTTCTTTGCCACATTCCAGGAGCAAAAAACAAAACAAACCCAAAAATGAAAGTTGTTAACTTTGCCCTGCAGATGCAAAATACCTGACTACATCAAATGATTTCATGCAAACCACCTCATTTGTATCTAATATCTTTTTAAATTCATCTTAATATGTAATGTCTACAGAAAAGTGGGCTTTGCTTTCTTAAATGTAGGCCAATTCTTTTACAGAGTTTTCTTAAGTTTGTTTTTTTGCTGACAGACTATTCTTGAATTACTCCCGCTTCTGCTTCTTACAACAAATTACGCAACTGTTCATGTAAGCTGGGCTCCATTTTGCACTCAAGGGGCTGCTCTGCCTACTGATTTGGAAGAGTAACCTCTTCAGACTGTAGAGAAGAAATGTTCTCTCTAGGGCAGCAATTACTTCCCTTCTTTGTCTATATTAAGAAGCCATTCAGCATCCCTGCCGTTATTCCTCCTTCAAGGAGGAGGAACTGCTCTTTCCAGAAACTTCTAGTCTCAAAATAGTTTTGCCTGGTGCTTATGGTGCCATTGTCTGAACAGATTGCCCTCCATGTTGACACTCCATTTGCTTTTTGTAAAATTAGCAACATTTATACTTTCTTTTTTCCATTTCATTTTCTCCAGAGTGAATTCAGCACTGCTGTAATGTGCTAAGGCCCTGACAGCCCTGAGTACTGAAGTCCCTTATTTATCCACAAAACAGGTGCAGCTGAGTCACTGGCAGTACAGCCTTCCTCAGACTGTCCTGACAGTGTGCCCCAGCCTGAACCTGGGGTGAACCACCTTTCTGCAAAAGGTTACTTTATTTCCTGTGGCCACTTTGCTGAGACTACCATCGCGGGTGTTTGTTGTGGTGATAATTTTGTGGAAAGGGCTCGTTTTCACTAAAAATTGAACGAAGACCCACCAACCTATTTCCTATAGCCCACTGATAGGGTTGCCAGTTTGGGTTGGACATATTCCTGGAGGTTTCATCACATAACATAATCTTTAATTAAAGATTAACATTTAATTCCTGGAGACTCCAGGACAATCCTGGAGGGTTAGCAACCCTACTCACTGAACAATTACTAGATAGTAACAACTTGTGGTCACTTTAAATGGTTTCAAAAGGGCAACTGAAAATGGAAAGGCTCTGTATCTGTTTACTTATCCCTTGATCCATGCAGTCCCATTCACCGTATTTTTTTCACTTTCTCAAAGATTTTAAATGATATTCCTCATTGTTACTGAACAGCATCCCCCCATAACCCAAAAGAAATTATTCAATCCAGTGTTTTTAAAATAAACGTTTTGGTTTTCCAACACATGTAGTGGGTATTTAACTTGTTTTATTTTCAGCCATTTTTCTCACAGTCTCAGCCCTGTTTATTTTCATAGGGTCTGAGGGGCATGTCAGCCACATATATCCTCATGTTATTGTACTATTCATGTTTGTTTTCATTGTGAGTGTGAGAACAGTTATTTGGGATAAATCAGCTATGTGCTGATGAAGTACAAGTCTGGAATGGCTACATGAAAGGTTTTACCATTTTGTATATACATAGATGAGAGTGGACAGATTTAAAATATCTATCTATATATATATAGATATATACACACACAATTTGTACTTGCTCAGTGTATGTAATTATTTTTGATCTGAGAATAAAATATCATTAGTTTATTTTGATTATCATCAATTGTCGTGGCAAAGGGTGGGCAAGTATGTATTCAATATTAAGTACCAGTATATTAACGGTTTGTCAGGGATATATTCAGGATTAACTTTTTGTGAGAATACACTTATTCTGGAATAAGAGTGACTTATTCCAAATTAGCTTAATCTAGGTAAATTAAGATAATTTGGAATACAGCATTCTTATTCCAGAGTAAGAACATCCACAGATGGAATATATTCGGAATTGTTAATCCACTTTAAATTCACAGCCTGCTTATTCTGGCATGGCACTGGGGAAATGACTCTTCTGTCTCATCAAGTTAATTCTTACAATTCCAATCTCTCTCTTCTGGTTGGAGACTGTGTATTAAATGTGATTATTTTTTCTTTGCAGATTGTGAGAATATTTAGTGTCTTATAGATCATGTATTCTGTTGCTACTGCTCACTGGTGTTTTGTTTTTTTAAAGAAAAGGATCAGAGGAAGGCTCAAATCAGAATTTTGGGGCCATTCAGATACAGGTCTAAAATTCCAAACTTCATTACTCTGGCCCCTGTCATTATAATGACCTGAATAAAAAATTTAGATCTGAACACCACCAAAGTTCAGGGAAGTTTTAATCAGAAACTCAAAAAATAACATATAGTATAGAAGTAGGGTAGGGTATGGCAAGAAAGGAGAGATTTAAAAAGAAAATGTCAGGTTATTAAGGGAAATGGGTCCTGAAAAATGGACAATGAGCAAAGTGTTAAGATTTTGAGGATTTTGCTTTCCTTGGGCTAAACACGGCAATTTATTAAAAATAAAAGCCTCCCGCACAGTTCAAAGTTAGAATTAAAACTGATTTAAGATGGAAACTCCATCCTGTGAGACCTAACTCCTGCAATTTATAACGAGGTGGATTATGTACCATTGTGAAGACAAGGTAGAAGTGTATAACAGAAATATTTCTCTTTATTTAGCTTCAAGCAATGAGACTGGACAGGTACCTCTCAGAGAATAGGTCTTCAGTGGTTACAGCTGCCAATTCCAGACATCATCTGGACAAAGAGATCAAAACTCTCCTTTCATAATAAACTGGGGTAGATAGGAAGTGAATGTTGAATTTACAAGTTGCAGATATATGGCTGATAACCTTCATGCCTTTCCTAATTTAAAGCAGCTGTAGACTTACTGTTAGCACTTTTCTCCTCCCCGCCCCCGCAGCCCCTATAGTTTAGACTTGTACAACTTTAGAAAATACGTGTTCTTCTCAATACAGCATATAGTATTGTATTATAATATGTTGCAGTCAACATTATAATATGTTGCAGAGTACTAATGACAAATATTATTATGTATGACTCTAGAGAAGCAGGATTTCCTTTGCTGTTAGAGGCAGTTGGTTATCACACTGATCACCAGTCATTTAAAATATCCTAGATAATTATTTCCTGTGTTGATAGTGCACTGAGTATTCTGTCTATATACATTGTAACAGCACTTGCATTTATGAGTCTATAAAAGTGTCATCTAGACAACTGCAGAAACTCTACAGAAATACAGAACTTCCAATTGCCCACATGTTGGTATCTGTTCAGTCCTCTTCATACTGGCTTATCTCTACCCTCAAACCCTATATTCTCAGTACAAAACCTTAGGGAGATTCACATATTTGCACTGCAGCCATTTAAGTTCAGGGACCATAGCACTTCTCTTATCTCAAGGCAAACTGAGCTCCAATATTTTTGTTTTCTTGGTGGATGTGCAAGAAAGTGAGAATATTACAGAATTATTATTTAATTGAAGAGCAACCATTTCCAAGTCAATTTGGCAAATTTACAGCAACTTTAAACATTAGTGGTAAAATGATTTTAGCTACATGAATACCTCTAATGGAAAGTTGAGGAAAACAGTTCAAAGTTCATTCCTTATTTATACAGTGGAGGATTTTGCACTTCTACTTGCTTGCTTTTCGAAGCTGAAAATACGCATTTTGAAGTGATAGTGGATGTCAGTAGTAATGAAGGGGGAAAACAGTTGAACTTCATATGGAAGACCTGAAAATGAGGAAATTTGAAGGATGTTACATCATTTTCTATTAGCATCAGTTATTTTATTTTCAAGCCTGAACTATATTTTTAATATAATGTTGCATTCCATGGAAATAGGAAAACATGAAGAAAAACTGGTCTGAACATCTGGAATTCCTGGAATGATATTTAGTCAATGGTTCTTCTGGCCCTCCTTTTGATGGCATCTCCATCAGCCTTAA